TAAGAATGAATCACAGTAGTGGGGTTTTGTAATAAAACAGGTGCGGTAAAACAGAAAGTAGAATAATACCGACACGTACAGTATTCTTTCTGACCTGCAGGTAATCTGAAACGTACATATATAGATGTATGCATATAGAAAAAGAGGTACTATATATTTAATATAATTTGCTAAAGTATTCAGATCATGAATAACAATAATTCAACAGTATTAACCAGTGTGAAATTATTTTTTTCTTTTATATAATTTTATTAATATAGAAACAGTGGACTAAACCCTACACATGAATCACAGATTAGAAAATGTGTTGTCACTTTCTGATTCAAATCTGAATGCTGAAGATCATTGCGTTCTGCCAGTTTAGCGTTATTTCCTATAAGATGACAGTATTAGATATTTTAAATTTGAAATTGTCTGTTATTTTCTTATTTCAAAGATAAAAGGCTTAATGAAGTTTACTGTTCAAAATGCTATCTGCAGGCTATCTACACACAGTTTGTCCTCTGCAGCAAAGGCAATATATTCCACAAGCCTATGATTCACAGTGTGGTAGTTCGAAGATCATTGCTCAGAAGGCAATAACGAGCTCAAAAACTGCATTGTCTTTTTGATGAGTTGGTAACAGTGGTCTCTCCAGGCTTCGGTTAAAGTGCATTATTGTACTCTGTGTGAAGACTGTAGGCATGGTTCATGTTTTAAGTGTGGCAGTGGCTATTGTTAAATCGCACCAGCTAATCATTATTATGTCTTTGAAGAGACATCTACTGCCATCAGAGACTTGAATGATATATTAATATTTGTTTTGTCGTAACATATGCAAACCCAGGGAAAGAATATATGTAGTCTGTCAGTCTCAAGGTGGCGCCGCTCCTGAAAAGCAAAGCACATTCTCATCATCAAATTGAATGGGACTAAAAAACATGGGATTGAAAGCATCTTTTAGATAGTGTAGATGTTTTATAAAAATATTATCTTCAGCTATACAAAAGTTACAAGACATAGGATAGGTTGAGAGAAGCAAATTTTTGAGGAGAAGTACTTTTTCCTTTTCTGGGTCCTATTGAATTATTTATTCCAGAAAATCCTGTGTGTGCAAGGAAACCAGTTTTATCAACACACAGTACCTTCAAAGGTTTGAACAGTTGGCCTGAGAGCCAAAGCTTCTCTGTTATTCTTTTTGGCGCTGAAGCTATGAGAACCACTGAAGTTCTGGCAGGTTGGCATCCCTCCCATACATACCGCTGACAATAGACTTGATATACTGTCGGAGTAGTGCTGTCAGAGGCAGGGATCTCCAGAAAGAGATTATACCCTTCAACATTCAGTATCCTACAATTTATGTCCTTGTGCTAGAACTTTAGGTCTTGATTTTTGTTCTACAATACTAAATTCTACTTTTTCTTCATATAAATGAAAGCACAGAATGGAAGACAAAAGTTAAAACAGTTAAAAAATAACTTTTCAGTATATCCTTTACTCAAGAGTTCTCCCTCAGGGATACTCACAGTCTTATTTTTTGTGCAAGTCTGTTCAAGGGACTAGCAGGCAGCATCTTGTAACCTAAAGTGTCCCAAACTTCTCTAAAGTTGGACAATATTTTGAGAATCAATAGATTTTTGAACTGTGAAATGCTCTTATTTATTTTCTGCTGTTGATTCTGTCTCAAAGGCCCTTTTGTTATTGGTATAAGTTGCCAATGTTAACTCAGTTGTTCCTCAGGTTTGGATATATAATATTCATTCAACAGAATTCCTCCAACTGAAAAAGAAAAGCAAGTGAAGATATTTGTTTGAAAGCAATGTTAAAAACTGCATGCAGTGGAGGAGGAGTCTTCTTAAAAGAAATCCATAAAAAAACACTAGCAAACACAAAAAATGGCAGATATGACTTGGAAAATGACAATTTTAGAGTAATTATAAATGAAAGGCAAAGTGCTATTAAAGTTAAAGCAATGTTATTAAAAGATGTGCTAATTTTCAGTTAAATTTTCTGTAAAAGACCAATTAGTTTAAAAGGCTTGACAGCATTAACTGCAAAACATAAGCACTCTAGTAATTATACTTTAAAAAATGATTGAACAAACGGGAAAGCATCCCTGAAACATTTGAAAGAGCTGCACTACAGTTCCGGAGCATAGGCTAGGTGGCACTGCTAGCTCAGATATCTTTGTCAGAATTTCCTTGCTATTCACCCAGTTTCAGTGTCTATGATGCATTTCCTTTTTTTTTTTTTTTTTTTTGTATTTGGACTACACCTATTTCATATTCTGATTCCAGATGCCAATTATATTTGTGTCATACAGACGTCCAGTGTGGGGTTCAGTTAATGGCAGCAGCAAACAAGTATTTCTTCAGTTATGATTTTACACTCCACAAAAGGGATTCACTGCCATCACTGGAAAGTGTCTTGTTACTTTAAGTACAGCAGCACCTTTCCAAAGCCATTCTGTAGATCAGTTTCTTATAAGTACTGGCATATCCAGGCCACGTACCCTCCCACAGAGCAAGTAGAAGATCACTCTCAAATTAATTTCAGTGTATTATTATTCCAAAGGAAATGGATATCAACTAGTTCAGCTTTTCAGTGTCCTCCAGTCCCAAACTGGCAAGAGGTAATAAGAGGAGTCTGATTTTCATGACAATCGAAAGCATGGACAGATGGGTTTTTCCTGAGGAGTCTTAAGTATATTAGTACAGGAGGAAGCAACCCTATTTAGTGGAAGGTGACAAGTTCCAGCTTCCTACTCATCCATCCTTTCTTCCTTATGGTTGGGCATTTTCTGATCGGTTGCAATGCCAGAGCAGTCCGTCTCGAAAGTTGGAATCTTTTCATTCTTTGATGGCAAAAAACCAAAACCCATCATTTGGCTGCACTCATCCATCTGAAAAAATGGTGACATCCACATCAGTCATGGTGTGAAACCCAAATTAAGCCATTGTTCCAAGATAAATGTTGCCTCCTTTGCTAATAAGTGTCTTAGCATTGCCTTAACATTTGTCTAGCAGTGGGAGGCCTTTCTCTGGTGACAGCATTTTGTTCCATCGACAATAGACCTGATTCTTTTCTCATTTACATCAGTTTCATAGTGGTGTACGGCTCCCAGAGTTATTCCTGGCTGGCACATGACATAAGTCAGAATTTGGCCCATTATGCCTTAATTGCACTGGGGTTCGGGGGTATTTTATTTTATTTTATTTGTATTAATGAATTTGTGACAGGTGCCTGACTTGATACATTATTTTACTACTGCTTTCATTTCTCGGTTTAGTATGAGATCTGTAGTAAAATGAACGATATGGCCACAGTATAATTTCTTAGTAGATCATGCTCTAGTGAGCTACAGCTGAATTTATGATAAGGGGTAATTGTGCACTTGCACAGTACAAAATTCAGATGAGCTAAGAGTATATGTGTTTAAATCTTGGATTCTGGCTATAGTTGGTATAATTTGAATTACAGAATAAAGAGAGAGAAGGAATTGGAAACAAGTGAAGGCTGGTCTAATGATACCTCCTAAAGAGTAATAAAATTATTAGTACAATTTTAGACTTTTGCATGTATTACCAGTCACTGCAAGTCAGCAGTCTATAAAAACAGGCTATTTTACACAAACCAGCATCCGTCAGTCTTAGAGCAGATGAACATTTCTTACCATAGTTGGCCTTACTGTAAACCAGACTTGAAAAATCTACCAGTAAAGATGTGCTTTACTTTTGTTTCATGTTCTTCTATCTTGATTTATAGATGTAACACTGAGAATAGCATTTTTTTAATTATACTAAATATCACTACTTAGAGAAGAAAAAGGAATCAAAAATACTGAATAAAAGAGTGGGAAAGGCATGAGAAAAGATACTATTGCAGCAAATGGTATGCTTTTGTGAAGATGTGTGCTTAAAGTGCCATATAGAATATGTTGAAGCACAGTTTTACTGAAAGGGCTTTTCCAGCTTCTACAATTGCAGTGCCTCCAGCCTCTAGATCTGGCACAATTATATCCATGAAACTGGTGACAAGTAACATTGCTGCCTAACTGCAGAAGCAAAGGAATTGTGCTAATTATTTTAGTTCTGAGTGGTGTATAGTATACACTGACAAAGGCTAAGAGAAGAGACTAAACTTAATGCCCATTTTTTTGTTTTGAGTACTTCCATGTTGTAAAAGTATAGCACAGTGGGAAGAGTTGCCAAAGAGGGCAACTCGGATTCTCACCTCAGGGACGTTAAGGAAGAAGTAATTGAAGAATAAACAATCATGCCTGAATGTCTTCTCTCTCTCACCATGGCAATTCCTATTAAACATCATGTAATCACGCCAGACTTACATTCCTGCAAGGGGTCACATTGATTTTTCTATATGTTAAGAAAGGTTTAAGTATTAGACTTGAATTGTTACACCCTGTATCCACATATGTAAGAGCTGATTTGAGATTAGCTGTTTTAGACTAACTGAATCTTCGTAAAGCTCTGCTAATGTCAGACAACTCTTTACAGTACATTTTGTATTTAAAATACGTAGTGCCTTACCCAGGCTAATTTAAAATAATTGGAGCTGATGAGATGCTTTAGGGCATGTATAACAATAACAATATGTTCCTCTCATTTTAATTTAGTCAACAGGTGAATGGCATATATGTCTATGTAAATAAGCAGAGGAGCTTGAAGTTACGAAACTTCAATGTAACAGTGAAAAACATTGCCACGTAGAATTCATTTGCTCCTGTTTTATCTGTCATCTCAAATGAACAATAAAACTGAAGTTTCATTATACAAAGAAAAAATATCAAAGTAACATAGATAGGAAGCCAGTTCTGCTTTTTGATCTTAGAATAAAATATTTCAGCCTGTACCTCAGTTTACCCAGGTATTAAATACAATTATGTTATATGGATAGAGCAATGAATTTCATTGAAAAGTATTATTTTAAAAGTATTTTCTTTGGACAGCAAGCACTGTTTGAGAATCCAGTATTCATTTTTACTTGGTTGGATTACAGACATTTGTTCCAAGTCCAAAGTTCAGCAAAAGTCACAAATCTAGTAATGGAATCCACAAATCCAGTAATGGTCAATCCTGTGTACTCTACCGTGAGCTCATTTTCTTCTTGTATGTCCCCTACACTTGCAAAGCTTCTGAAAACACAGACATTAGTGACATTGTAAATGATGGTGTCTCCTTTTCTTGCTCAACATTATTTTTTGCCCAGTACATTACATTGCAGATATTTAACTGAGTATCTCTGAACTATACCAGTATACTTTTAAGTGAACTTGAAAGTCATTCATCTGGCATTAAATTAATATTTAAAATACCCATTGTTTGCCTGACAGACCAGCAATGCTACAGATGCTGGCAAAATGTCAGTGTGGAGTAAATCTTCCCTAATAAACCACACTTACCCTATACCCTAGAGTTTTTTAAAAGGACCACCAGGATCCCAAACTCATCATACATTTATCTGGAATGAACTCAAGATGTTTAATTGATACATGCTTATGTCTGAACACTGTCAAGTCTCGTAATAAGATGTTTAGTACAATACATCAGTTAGACTGCTAGAGTCCAGCCACAGTAATAAGTAATGACATTTGCAGCACAAAGGCAGCTCCCCAACGAATTGGTGACAAGAGTAAAAAGGCAATCTAGCCTGTGTAAGCTTTAAATGTGGTCTGAATTTTACAATTACATGTCCTAAAGCCCATTATTAGACATGAAGGCAACGAGAAGGAAAGCAGTCATTGCATCACTACTAACACCAATTATAGGAAACATAAATCATTCAAATTTTTGTACTTTAATAAAAATCAGCCTGAATTGGTGTTTAAAAGAAAGGATCTAGTATAGAAGCCTAATGGGATAGAAGAAAATAGAGTAATTGGAGGCTGCTGTCTTTTCACTTTCTATATAAAATTATTTGAAGAGACAGCCAAGAACTTTAAACAGCAGAAACCCAGAAAAGTTGTAATTTGGATGTCTTCAGTTGTGACTTTAATGGTGTTTGCTTAAAGAGCTTTCTTTTATCTCTGCAGACATACTTCAATGACAATATCCTCACACTGATACGGACATTGGTAACAGGAGGAGCCACACCAGAGCTGGAAGCACTGATTGCTGAGGAAAATGCATTGAGAGGAGGTTACAGCACGCCCCAGACACTTGCAAACAGGGACAGGTGTCGAGTTGCTCAGTTGGCTTTGTATGATGGGCCGTTTGCAGACCTAGGGGTAAGATCATGAGGGAAATGTAGGACCAAGGCTGGTGTGCGATCTAGTAATTTTCTCTCAGACTGAATTAAAAATCTATCCTAATTAGCCCATACTTTCTATTATTTAATTTAATAGGGCTTTTGGATCATTTGACAATTTACAGCACAGGGTGCCAGGTTTGCTCTTACCCTTTTTAAGAAGCTATATGACTTCCCAGACTCTTTGCCTGGATATTTCATACAGAAAATCCTGTGGTTCTTATTAGTTGCTAGCTAAAGAGATGGATGAGCTGACTTGGATGATATTACCATTCTAACAATAATCCATTGTAAACAAGAGGAATATCTATACCTTTGTTGGGGTTTGATAAGCTTATTCAGTCTTTCCACGGAGCTTCCAGTTCTTGCTTAAAATATGCTTATTAGCTTGAAAACAAAGCTATAAGGTTTGTTTTCTGCTGTTTCTGGATGAACTAAAATTCTTACAAAATCCTAATTTTCTGACATTTTGACTCCACTATCCTAAGAGTGAAGTAAAGAAACCCAAAAAATCCCAAAACCAAATAAGCAAACCATCTTTAAAAAATGGTGTATTTGGATAAAGAAGTATCTAGAAATGTTTTCTGGACCAAATCTTGTAATCGTGAGGCAAATTCCAAAGCACCTGCTTCACTTCGATGATGATGTAGGATTTGATATTTCTTAAAATAACCTTGTATTCACCGGCTCTGTTCAAAAAGAATGGAGTGACGACCTTCACAGAAATGACAGGGAATCCCAGTTTAAAGTTGATGAGAGTGCACAGATAGAAGTAAACAGCCTTTCAGTTCATGTAGAAGTCCACTCATAGCTGAGACTAACAGCTCATCAAAACACTTGGGCATGCGGTGTAACGTTTTCACAAATAAAACAATCCTTCAAATGCTATTTCCCCAGAGACCAAGTTGCACTACACTAGCGAAGGTAGAATGCATTAACACTCATCATCACTTAGGAATCAATATTTTAGATATACAAATTATCAAATCTAAACTTTTTTTTGCTAATCAAAACATTTTATGTTCTTTATGAAAAATGGCATATATTTCATCATTATTTTAAAGTGGGAGATATTTTATTACCCTTTTAACCCCTCAGAACTCTAATTGTTGTTGTGCTCCCCAGTGAATTTATTTGTCTAAATGACAGTGTGGCTACTGCCAAGAAAGGGTCAAGAATACCGACAATTTTAATACCACAATTAATATAATTTGTAGAATATGCATTGTTTGGTACCAAAATTTGTATTTCCAGCTTAAAGCAAATCACTCACTCTTCCCAATTTACCATCATTCCATGGACCAAGGCTCTCCAAAATAATGACCGCTTTACATAATTACTTATTTGAAATAAAACATTTAGATTATTCATTTCCTTGGGTAAAAGATTCTCATTTGTGACAAACAACAGACTGTCTATACATTGTCCTTTTTGTACAGGCTGATACTGAAAATCCTGTTCCCTGACATTGTGTTAACAGAGAAAAGAAAGGGAAAACATGTGCTGGTCTTTTTTTTTTTTTTTCCTCTGTCTTTTCTTTCTCCTAGGATGGAGGTTGTTATGGCGATCTATTTTGTAAAGCACTGAAAACATACAATATGCTTTGCTTTGGAATTTATCGATTAAGGGATGCACATCTAAGTACTCCCAGCCAATGCACTAAACGGTAAGTCCAGTTTTTTAGAACATCTCTGCTTCACTGTTCTTCAGTCTTCTAGGCAAGGAAGATCCCCGTGCCTGTAATAAATCTAAAAAAAGAGCTTTCTCCATTTTTTTGCATAACTTTGCCACAGAAGTGAACTCTTTGAGGACTTCATGATGACTCTTTAGCTGAGTTTAAATCATAGGCTGGATATCATAGCATAAGTTTTCAGCTAATTTTAATGAAAAATTTTAAAAGTAAATTTTCAGAACATATCTTTGTCTTGTTTGATTTATGATGATCCAGTGCTTGCATACAAGGAAAGGACTTTAGTTTGCTTATATCAATCAGCTGTAAGTTACTGGATAATAATTTAGATTATAGTAGCTAGACTTTCCTTTTTTTGAATGCTCAAAAAATACTCCTGTGGGTTTCCCATTGGTACTGTCTGTATCTAATCATCATTTCTTCCAGTAAATGGAAACCCTTCTCTTGGTAAGCTGCATTTTTACTTCAGTAGCACCAAGGCTGACCTTAGTGCTTTAAATAGAGCAGACACATTTCCACCTTTGCAAACGGAAGGCCATTTAGCAGCTTACTTGAAATGCGTCTTAATTAAGTGCCTACTAGAAATACACACACAGACCCATACCAGAACTATCACAAATCTACCATCTGTTACTGTTTCATTCTCTACAAAAAGCATCATTATTGGGTGAACATAGCAATAAACAACCTGCAGCTCACCAAAGCTGTTTCTTCTGTAAGGATTTGGGCAAATTGGGTAGAAAAAATGATTTTCAGTTTAGATTTACACTGTACTTGCTATACTTGGGATTATTTGTTGGATTAATAAGTGACTTCTGTCCCTGAGGCAGCTAAGCCAGATTTCTTACGAGCACTGAATTAATTTGAAAAGAAGTTGTGAGCTTCGCGATCAATTTTTACTCATTTCTTGCTTGGACAGAAAATGCCTATTGCCTTGCTCAAATATGTTTTTCATATGCATGAAAAAATTTAGCAGCAGGGTCTATAAGCCCTTCTTACCCTGAAAGGGGGTTAGCTGAAGGTGGGAATTCTGGAAATTGATAGAGTTTTTATTTCAGGCCTGGGATGTATACTTAATGCTGGACTCTTGGATGGGCAGATTTCTCTTTATAAATGCTCTTTGAGGCCATGTACATACATGTGGAATGTATGAACAAAATTAAACTTACTGCAAATTTGCTGATATATTTTCCTTAACTTGTTTTATGTACAGTCACAATCCAAACAAATAATTATTTCCCTTGCCCTATTGACAGTATTTAAATATTTAATAAATGTATAGTAAATACAAATTTAAATATAACTGCACCTAAAATCCTCCTCTCCCTGCTTTTCAGCCATTCTTTTAAACACCGTTGCTGGTGGGTACGTTACTGGGTTTTGTCAATATGTAAATCTGTTTGCTAGTCATTGCATTACGGTGCAGCTAGAGAAGGGAGGGTGATTTGTATGGTGTCTTCTCTGAAAAATCATGACACGATTCACTTGAAGAACATCCTACTCAGACAGTATGTCCATGTAACAGGAAACCTACAAAAAGTGATATCTGACATAAGAAGGTCCTAAATCATAACAGGTATTATGTGAGATAAAATTAGGTACACACTGAAGGAAACAGAAATGCAGAAAGCTGGGTAAATGTTCATGAGATAACAACTCTCAAATAAATTTTTAGTACAAATCTAAACCTGCTTTCTCTTTCTTTCTTTCTTTCTTTCTTCCTTTCTTTCCAGTTATGTTATCACAAACCCACCATATGAATTTGAGCTTGTGCCGACAGACTTGATCTTCTGTTTGATGCAATTTGACCACAACGCTGGCCAGTCCCGGGCCAGTCTTTCTCATTCCTCCCATTCCTCCTATTCTTCCAGCAAGAAGAGCTCATCAGTTCACTCCATCCCATCAACAGCAAACCGACCGAACCGCACCAAGACCAGGGATTCCCGGGAAAAACAGAAGTATGTGCAGGAAGATAGACTTTGATATGTGTACCTGCTCCCACTGTGTGTGAAACCTGCATTCACCACCCATTCTCCCCAGTTAATGTTTCCAGCAGTAGTGTTCCCTGTTTTCCCATGGAGTTCTCCCTTTTTGTACACATATTTTGCATATGTATGACAGTGTGCATGTGATTGTCATTTTAATTTCACCACCATAAAACCCTTAAGCACAACAGCAACAAAGCAGACGGACCAAAAGTTATTTATGACGCTAGGGGAGAAAAAAATTTCTAAACCCATAGGCACACTGAAAACATAAATAACTCACTGCAGTTACTCTACATATCAGAAAATAGAGTATATTTAACATGAACACTTGCTCTTGATGTCAGAGTTACACAAAGTAAGTCATTTAGTGCAGAAGTGTTGATGTATGTTGCTGTAGGTTTTTTATATTCATATTTACAGGAGTTGCTACATTTATTTGAAGCTTATAAAACTAACCGATTGGAGGAAAAAAAAAAAAAATCCCTACTGATTTTTCACTCTCAAAGCTTATATTGTATAGGCCTTACACTCTTTGTATAGATTATTGCTACGCACCTGCTTTATACCGAAGCAACATCAGGGACTTTTCTGCTTGTTTAAGGACTTTCTCTAAAATACTAACCTTTTGGAGGTAGTGTCTTTTCCCTTTAACACTGAAATTGTCTGGGCATGGAGTTGTAAAACTGCAATGGTTTAATTTAAGTTTAGAAAGAGTCTAATTGCATATTAAATTATTATTCTGCCTATTTATACTGCCACATGAATAGCTATATTTTCTTTCACTTTTGACATTTGGGATAAAAAGCCATATGTATCATAAATATTGGATGCAAGTCATTAAAAACTGCCTTCCTGGGACTTTTACGTCTTTAAAAGGTGAATTAGTCACCTTATGTACAGAATAAATAATGTTCAGAAAAGAGCAAGCATTTTTCTATGCTTAAGTATCAGATCTCGGGGGACTTTGTTCCTTTCCCCAGATGGTAGTTTAACTTTTCCAAGTTAGAGTTGTGGCATATATCTTCCAACAAGAGTCCTAATATGCGAAGATCCTCCAGAAATCCTGCTCCATGTTCTAGCTGGTTCTTTTCCACAGGTGCATGCCAGTACACAGGAATACAGGGGAAGACAACTGAGTGCCTTTAAGGTCTCTCCCATTTGGGAAGAAAAGGTGCCATACCCTAGACAGCTAATGAGCAGAACAAGAGGGCTGGGGTGGAAATGTTCACTGTGCTGAGGCATCATGTTCCAGGCACTTGCCAGAGTTTGGTTCTTGTAGGTTCTCCCCAATGACACACCTAGCCAAACAAAAATTATGGCAGGGAATTAAATGAAGTAGTGGAAAGGAACCTATCGTAGACAGCTATAGAAATGATACTTCAAGCTTGTTTTTTTAATTTCAATGCCAATCTTTTGAAATATAGAACTAGTTCTAGGCGATATGAAGAGTTTCCCAGGGTAGGGAGGCCAAAACCACATACCACCTTCCCTGGCTACCCAGCAAGAAAGCATGCAGACAGAAAAGAAGTATTTGGATGCGGGAGTGACTAGCGTTGTAACTGCCAACCCAGACAAGGTGCTTTTATGGTTAGTGTTGTTTTCTACCTTCCCCTTCCCCAAGCATGATAATTTTGAAGATTTGCTTGCTGTGTGAATTGACAATGAAGCCAAGCACTTTTACTGACAAAACCTCGAACCGTGTAAATGGACTACAGAGAGTACCACTATGCAGTGTTAAGCATAATGATTGGAATACAGTATATATGTGTGCGTGCATTCAAATGCAGCTGTAAGTCCTATCAGTGAAATACACTGCAAATTATGGATGCTCCCCTACAAATAAGTCTATTACAGTTGCTCATCATCATAAAGATAAATTAATGTGTTTCTTTTTGCAAAGAAAGTTACCATGTTTTGCCCTAAAAATATTTATTACTACAAGGATGTGCCAGTTAAAGTGCTCAACAGGAAATATGACAGTTTAAACGCATTGTAAAACTTACATAGCTTACTTCTTTTTCTAAAGTGCAACAAGGATGAATAGAATGGGCCAAGGTATGACAATTAATGGTTCTGCATGACCTAGCAACTGCTGTGGGTTTCCTTCTATAACTTTGTCCTTGTGAAAACTTGTGAAATTAAAAAAAAAATAGTTACAAACTTTATTCAGTTATTGGTTTGTTTGTTTGGTTGGTTGTTTTGTTGGTTTTCTTTTGTCTTTTTTTTCCCTCCAAACCAGAAGTAAAACTGGCTGCTGCTGCTGCTGCTGCTGTTGCTCAATCCTGTTTTATTTTCTTTATCCTCTCATCTGCTTGCCTTTCTAATTGCACGTGTCCTTTTGTAAACACCCAGGTTCCTGCTCAATGAAGATGCCTACCCTGGTGCAGACATTACTTTGATTTCCCATTCCTCATTCCAATTCCTTTCCTCCCTTCCCCTCCCTACTCCCCTGTCCCCTGTGTATGTTCATGAGCATCTTTTTATGTTGGCAATATTGACTGAAGATAGTTGAGAGCAGTTATGCATTTTGGAAGAATGTTAATGGCTTTGACACCAAAATGCTTTTCCATTAATGTTTTATCTGTTTTCCATTTAGCAGAGGAAGGAAGGGTGTTAGTATGAAGCCACTTGTCACATACTACATAATGATTTTATCCAAAAGAATAGTATTTGTATAACTGTGCAGCTCAAATAGAAAAAATATAAACAGTGTACATTAAAGAAGCAACTTGGCTACTTTGTGAGGAACAGGAGAGGAATATCTAATATGGATGCAAATCTGAATTCTTCAGATCATATTGAAGTCTAACTCTCCTCTGTCTTCTGTCCTAAAGTTTTGACTTTTAGTTATACCACATGCGATTTTAACTGCTAACTATAGTCAAATTGATCAAATGATTTATTACAGTGATGAAGATTTTCTGATAAGAATATACTAATGAAATTGGGAGGTTGGTCATTGCAAGTAGAGGAATGTTTAAATCAACTACGTTATGTTGTCAAAATTTTTTATATTGAAAAGTAACAGGAATTCTCCCGTTTGTTCAGAAACCTGTCCCAAGTCAGACATTCCTAGTAACTACCCTGGTTAGTGGAAAAGCAGCACCAATGTCAAGAGCTGACATTTTAGACTTTAAATGGAGGTCCTGCCACTTATATCAGTCCCAGCAAGGTTTCAACAAAGAAAACTAGGTTGTTAGTAACTTTGTTGATCTGAGTGTTGACACAAAATCACATCTAGCAAGCCTGCAGGTTCTGGGCATGGGTTCCCACTGGCCTAAACTGTCAGAGTCAGGCATTTTCCAGTGAAATTCCCATAGTCAAAAGTAAGAATATTGCTGGTTTAAAAAATAAAAAAAAAATCAACAAGAGCAAGTCCAGAATAGCATTTTTGTCCCAAAACTTCAGTTGCCTTGAAGCAAAATAAAGACCTTCACAGAAAGTAAGAATAGTTTCTTCTCTCTCTCCCTGCAAATTACTTACTGCATGCTACATGTAAAATATTCATCTGCCAAACAAAGAATTGCTGAGCAGGTGGGTGGAGAAACTTTCGTTACTTTTTTCTCATACAGGAAGAAATTGCATGGGAGAATTTTCAGCTTAGCTATAAACAAGCTGCCTATGTGGAGAGGGGGAGGCACACACATGCGTACAGACTCATTTGAAACTGCAAGTGTCATGAAAGAAAAAAAATGCTTTTAAAACAATTGTAAGGTAACCTGGGATTATGGTGAGAATACAGATCTACTAAATCTTTGTGTCATGTTTAGCTAGTACTTTCTTTGCCTCTGCTTAGAAGAGAGGGTGTTTCACAGTGACATCTATTCAAATGTGATTACTCAGTCCAGAATTAATGACAGAAATTTTAGAGCACCAGAACAATCAATCTGTTGGAGAGAATTGCTAGAGTCATACACAAGTTGAAGAAATCTGTATTTTGATCATTTTACTTTAATTATTTATATCTTTTTATGCTGCAGGGAACAGTCTTACACAAGATGTTAATTTTTATTTATTTGTAATAAGAGCATGAAGCCTTTAGAACCTTCGTGGACACACTGGGATGCTGATAGCCCATTGCAAACACAGGGGTTTGAGAGGAAAGTAAATGTTTTCTGCTTTCTGATACATGAAGTTAGCTGTTCCAACATCTCTCAGGTTAAAAACAAACCCATCAAATAGTGTAGGAAGATGAGGGACTCTCTTGAACAGCTCTTAAAAGTAAAATAGAAAACTATGCCTGTTCTCACTGTAACATAGGAACACATATGGTAAGGATCAATATGCATATGCCAAAAGGGAGAGAAACAGACTGAACATGACTGAGAATTAAAAAAACCTTGGTGAATATAACAATATATAAACACCTAAAAAAGGGTTTTCTGGACTGACTTAAAGGAAAGAGTAAGTAGTTTGTTTAAGATACATAAAAATCTGTGCTAAGACTTTGGAAGACATATCAAAGTCAGACTGTGAGCATAACAAAAAAGATTGAAATGTGGGTAAGGGATTCAAGAAGGACATTTAGTAACTGGGAGCAGAATATCTTAGTGGCCAAGAGTAAAGACGAGGAGTGTCAAGTTCACATTTCAAAGGTAAGTATAGAGGTCAATGGACTTTCGCAAGCGATTCATCATTATGTGGTCAAAGACAATTGTAACAGCAGAGAAGGAACAGGAAAGGTATAAAGCTGGGTCCAAGTGTTTGATGCTGGAGATGATAATGCCTGGATCTTGGTTTCAGTGCTGGCAAAAAGAAATTTAAACGGCAAAAGAAATTAGCATCTACCAGTTTCTGCACTTATTATTTATTTCCTGTATTTATTACTTGCCAGGTAAAGGCAAAAAGACACTTGATGGTGTATTTTTAAAGATCAGCTCCCTGGATATGAGTCTTATGGTAAAGATTAACATATGAATAATTGCCTTGTTTTGAAAATTCCAGGGAGAGCAGGGGAGGTGGAAGTGCTTTACCCTGGCTGCTGAGGAACACAGTGCAGTTCATCCCGAATCCTTAGCACTCGCACACTTCTTGCTATGAGATTGAATTAACTTGCACCAAGTTCTCTTTGTAAGGAAAGTTTGTGCACCATATGTTAAAAAAGAAGGTAGAGATAAAAGTTCACAGTGCTTAACTTGCCTCAAAATCGCTTTAAACACAAACCATTAGAAAACTGTTAGTTTGAAATTGTTTATGTGATCTTGCAAGGCTTTTAAAACATGATAACCATCACACTTTACACCTCTCTGAAAGGTTAGTTTAATCGTAGATCACATAAAATTGGTTTCCACAAATGCATAATGGTTCATATGTCACACTTGAACTAAATGGTTTTTTAAATGGAGCTGAAATTATTTTGATGTGTACACATTCCCAGATTTTTTTTTTCCTACAACCTTTCTTAAACCAGCCCCCATCAGGAACCATTCCCTTAAAGTCTCATTAATAATTCAGATGTTCTGATGACTTTAAAAGATCTATGGAATTGAGGCTTTTTTTTTTTTTAACTGCTTGACAAAAAGATAAATGAATGTAGAAAGAAGCGGTAGGAGTCTGGCAAGCTGTAGATCATCTCTGAACAGATTGTAACTTTATCATTCTGTCAGGAAGAATAATTTAAAGCACTTAATCAGTTAGCTTCAGTGTGCAGGATGTAACATTATGAATTCCTATCGTCCAATCTGTTCAAATCAAAGGGAACTTAATTATAATAGGTAAAAGAGAGAGAGAGGGGGAGATGGGAAATTGAACATTGTTCAGACTCAGGCAACTTTAAGGGGACAGGGAACTATTTACCCTGTTCACAAATGAGTAAGACATTTTGAAAAGAAGTAAAATACATTTTAGAAAATTATAAGAAAAACAACACGATAGTTCTGTTTACCTTCAGTAATAAGCCACTAATGATTAATACAATTCCTTTTTTTCAATTTAATTTTTTAAAAAAGCATAAACACAGGTGACAAATATATCTGGGGGAAAAAAAAAGTGGATTAAATCCTCTTGAGTTTGGGGTTTGTTGTTGGGGAGGGTGGGGGTGTTGCATGTAGATGCTTTAAATCCATATCAAGTATAAGTGTTTAAATTTCATATTCATGCAAGTGACTGAGAAGTCCAGTAATTCTGGAAATCAATCCACTTCTTTAGAGGCCCTAACTTGGAAGCTAGTTGCTTATTTTTATGCATTTATGTCCAGATATTTGTCCTTTATTCTTCCTGGTCTTCTAATTTCTATTCTCTGCTTCACATCCTGAGCTTTTGTGCTCAATCCTTGACTTTCCGAGGTGGATTTTGCCTTTCTTATTTTAATTAATTTATTTATTTTAAATGAGCACTCCTTCCACTCCTGCCCCGATTCCAGCCCAGATGCAGCAGCATTTCAGTGGTAAGCAAAAATGGCAGTTTGTATTATGCAAGCGAGACACTAAAGCTTCTGAAGCATTTTGAGTTCCCCATTGGAATGAGAGGTAGTGCATACATGTAAGAGAGCAGCTCTGATGCGCCCCAGTTGCAGAAGCCCATCCCCAGAACCGTTTGTGCCCACTGCTCTGCACACCCACCTCTGGAATTTGGTGAAGGAGTGCAGGAATGGAGACCCCTGCTCAAAAATGCTGTCAAAGCATAAGCACCTAATGGCCATAAGCCACTCTAAGACCAGGAGTTTCAAAATCTTTGAATAGAGCTATCTTGTAAAGTTGCATACCTGTAATTAAGAAATTACAGCAGTAATTGCTTTCAGAAAAAGTCTTAAGAAAAGTATTTTGCTGGGTTTTTTTTTTTCTTTTGTGAATTTTAAGAAGTTTTTGTCCATGTCTGTGTGTGAACAGTGCGATATGGTGGTTACAATCATAAGCAGCTAAGGAATGGCTGCAATGCTGCAGCCTCTCAGCATCCTCACTCCCTCCTGCATTGCTCCCAGCCCACCCTAAATCAGTACCATACAATTCTTCCTATGATCATGAAAACAGACACTGCCCAAAGATATAAAAGGACGAGCTTCCCCTCTAAGCTTCCTTTTAAGTCCTTGCTGCCTTTGCCTTGCTGTCATGTATCACTACCAATCCATTCAGGATTAACTTGAGCCCCTACTACAGTCATCTGCAGCATCAGGTATGTTCCATACTCCTTCCCAAACTGGAAAGTTCGGCAGCACCCAAGCAGCCAGGTTGCTAAGTAGCAATATAATGGCCAGCCTGTGCAGGAACGCAGCCATCTGGCAGCATGAATGCAAACCCTATTTATTCTAGCACCAAATGCAGAAAGTTCTTCTTTACATTCTCCTGCATGATTTCTGAGCCAGCAGTAGTGACTACGCTGAGGCTGAAATATTTCAGAGAAGCCTCTGGCTCTTTATGGTACGCCTCTGTATGTGGACTCACATGCTCTTTTCTGCATTACCCTTATCCCACCTGCTCTCCCTGGCTTCTCAGTTTAGCCTTTTATTTGTATTATTTTTTTCAATAAATGAATCAGAGGGTATCACCTGAGCACAAAAAAAAAAAAGGGCTCTTACACTCAACAAGCAGACTAGCATATTGACAGTTTTCTTTAGCTTCTACTATCAAATCTGCAAACGTCATCCTCCGTTCATGAAAAGTACTTTCAGAGGTATTAATCTAATGCACTGTACTTAGTGTATTAGTAGCTAGTCAAAGTCACCTTCTATTGATTGCCTTTTCTCTATAAACTTTACAGACTGCTCCCCCTCTTCTTTTTTTTTTTTTTTTTTTTTTGTGTTTATGTGTATATGTATGTGCTTCACTAACTAAAACTTTCATTTCTCCCTCCTTATTCTGTCTCTACCCATTTTGCTCCTTAGCAGAAAAGAAATGGTTTACAGATGAGCCGGATAATGCCTATCCGAGAAACATTCAAATCAAGCCCATGAGCACTCACATGGTCAATCAGATCAATCAATATAAATCGACAAGCAGCTTGATACCACCAATCAGAGAAGTTGAAGATGAATGTTGACTCCTTCGAGGCCAGAACTATTTTTTTAAAGCCTGACAAACTTCATGAATGGTGATGTGACATTTATTCCTCTTACATGCTGAACCACTGATGGAGAAGTTAAGAAGGGCAAGCTTAATGGGAAAATAAAGTAGACAGATCTTTGTTTGTCTGCCTTTAATATTGCTTCCATGTATTTTGGAAACTATTTCATTTATAAATGAACATAATCAGAACTAGTCATGTATAGCCTCTAGCGTTTTAAATTATTTTTATTTATTAGAAAAAAATATATTTTTCTTTTCTTTTCATTGTCAAGTATTTTCCCTTAAAAAACCTGCATATGTGGCCAGACTCCTAAGAATTTAAAACAAAAAAAAAACCACACCAAACCCACAAACCTCAGTCTTTGGCTTAAAGGAGAATGATGGTCACAGTTATAAGGACATGTAATTAAGGGAGACAAATGATATATTTACAAAAAAGAAACAAAGGTCCAACTTGAAT